TTTTGTAGAGGACTCCTCACAGTCCTCCCTATACTGTCCAGACCCAAGTCGTGTGCGATACCCAAGCACAACTGGAGAAGCATCGTGATCGAAACGGCTTGGACGTCCATGTAGTGATGATGCCAGGCTATGAAGACCAAGAGTCCCTGTAGGAGGTCCAAACTCTTTTCGCCTTTCATTATCCGGACCATGACCACTTTACGGAACTCCAGGCTCAGTGCTCTTTGAAGCGGGACCGAATCGTAAGAAGAGACTGTTAGCACAGCAAACATCAACATCGGTCGGCTCTGGAAGAGGTCCTGACAGCGGGCGTCTCTCGGTAGTGATACAAAGGGGAAGAAGTCGACCATGCTGCGATACGTGTCGAGCAGCATCTGCATGTGCACCAGGCTGATCGATCTGATAACAGGATCCAGTCGGCCAAGGCAAGACAGTGTGTCGTTCATTGATTCCCAGAATGATGCCGAACTTTCGGACTGATTCGCATGAGCGGGAAGTGATAACGTCCTGGGAGCTGGTGGCATCGATGCAGGCGGAGCGGTGATTGGTGTCGGCGTCGGCATTTGCTGTGTGGAATCCAACAGTTGCGATGGGATAGTGGCAACCGATGGCAGACTACATTGTGTCGGAGCCGGTGCCATTGTCGCAACGATAGCAGACAACTTGTCCAATTTCCTGTCGAAGTCGCGCAGCTTGGTGGGTGTTTGGCCATCGCTGCGCGCCTTTGCTGGCCGCCTGCGCGCAACATGTTCCACACACTCGACTCTCGCCTTTTGGCATCTGGGGCACGTGTCATTCCATGTGGAGCAAAAATATGGCTGGGGTAAACAAACCTCTGGCAGAGAGCCGGCGTGTCAGATGGAACGCAGCGAACCTTGTGTTTTCGACAGCGCTCGCACGCAAAGGCGTTCCCTATCCTCCCTTCTTTTGCGTCCATGGCGGGGACAGAACTGGCAGTCTTGGGGGAAGGAGAGCCATCGGCCTCCGGCTGGGTACCCAGGCTGCTCATGTGGGGAAGTCCGATCATGTGGTGCCAAGTCCGGGGTCAAACTGCAGTTGTGAATTGAGTCCCTCAAACGCGCGTAACGGGTGCACCAGAGATCAACGCTATGCTGACAGGGCGGAAGGCAATGCCGCAAGCCATTGCATCGGAACAACTTCAGCACAAGAGCCTTTGAAATGGGTTCCGCCGAGGGCCCGTCTATGTGGCGGTGCGAAATGATCAAGATACCTCGGGTAGTATATGTCGGTATATTGATGGTCCGCTTGGAACCGGTTGCTTACTCCCGACGGTCTGGGGGCGTGAAAGCCGCCTAATTGCCCTGGCGGAACTGCTCCGAAGCTCCATCCGGCACCAGTGCTGATAAGTCCGTCATGTCAACGTTGCGCCTCGAATTGAATGGACGGCAATGGTGATGACCTCCAGTGCTGGCTACAGCAAGCGGCGCGACGCTACCGTAATAGTTTCCTCGCTCTTCTCCGCCCAATTTCAATCATGACTCACCTCTAGTGCCACAACCACGACGAAATGACCCAGAAAGCGCATCGCGACTATCAGGATGGCTTTGCCGGGAGGATAGGATGGGGTAAACGTCCGGCGCTGCTACTTGTCGATGTTTGCAACGCCTACTGGAACGATGCCAGCCCATTGGACACCAAGTCGAACCCTGCGTCTGCGGCGGCGCCCGCGTCCATCGCAAAACTCGTCTCTGCCGCCCGCCAAGGCAAAACGCCGTTGATCTGGACGCGGGTCGAATACACGAAGCCGGACATGTCGGATGCGGGCCTCTTTTACAGCAAAGTACCGCTACTCAAGCTGTTCCAAGTCGGCTGCGGGAACGGCCTTGAAAGTTGGTATCCTGGTTTAGAGCCCGCCGCTGGTGAAGTCGTCGTCCCCAAGCGCTACCCGTCCGCATTCTTCGGGACCGATCTGGCTGCGCAACTCCAAAGTCGCAACGTCGATACTGTCATAATCTGTGGTGTCAGTACAAGTGGTTGCGTCCGCGCGACTGCCCTCGATTGCATGTGCTTTGGATTTCGACCAATGGTGCGGATCGACTCGGCAACGCATGAGTCCCTGTAAACGTCACTAATCATCATTCCAGGTCGTTGGAGAAGCATGCGGTGACTTATCGCCCGCTGTCCACAAAGCAAACCTTTCTGACATCAACGCAAAGATGGCAGATGTTGTGTCTGAGGATGAAGCAATTCAGAAGCTGCAGGCTGGATGGGACTGAGCGGGCCGCGCGGCTACGGTACCGCGCCGCAGAACTAGTTCCAGGAGGTAAAGCTCCTGTCTCTGTAAGTTAATATAGTCATTTAGGTTCCTCTCAAGCTCGCCTCCATGAAGCCGAGCGAGTTTCTAGTGTACGATACTGTGTCGCGAAGACATGTGGAGATGGCGGCTACCACGAACGACAAATAGCACGGACAATTAACAAAATACACTCCTCTCTCGATAACATGTAGAAAGAGCCAAGGTAACGGAAAGATGGACTGTAGAAGGCGTAGTCAAGGTGCATCATCTAAGAGGAAGGTGTGAAGCGTGGCGTGATGGTCGGTTCTTTCTTCTCACTAACATTTCATTTTGGCAACCGCAACCTAGGTACTGGTCTTACACAGACAGGCAAGCGATTCTTCACTATTCATTGAACCACTGCTTCACAGCGCGTTACGTTATCACTCAACATCACTCACATCACTAGTCACAATGCCAACAACCTTTCAAGCAGAACCCACGAGAAGGCACGTGTCCGGTCTCAGAGCACATTTGCGCGTTTGCTATCGAGCACGGCATCGGCGTCTCTAGATACACCTTCTAATCCACAATACGCTCGAAAGCGACGCGACACTGTGCCCAACTCAGACACATCAACCACACTCGAAGTCTTCCGATCACAATTCTCCGCCAGCGCCAGCGCCACGCCAAAGGAATTTCTGACATGAAACAACGAAACTCAGCGCTCCCGATACTACAGCACACTCCTTATCCCGGCGCAGAACCGGTGCCCGATTGCGTGTGGGTATGCTGTGGATGCAGAAGAAGATGGGAGACGAAGGAGCTCGGCAACATCTGTGTCGGCTGCAGTCACAAATACTCCGTTGACTGTTGCCAGCTTGCCGGATAGCAAGTCATGGCGGGGGACGAGGAGATGACACAAGGGCGAGTTAAGGTGCGCCCGTCTACCCTCTTGGTCTAACGAAGGCTAATATAGCGGCATACTTCAGCTGGTAACATACCCAGCGGTCGAGAGTGTGTACGAAATCCTACTCGTAGCCATGGATGAACGTGATGGTGGCAAGCGCAATCAACAAAAACATCTATTGGTATGCATCCTTCTTCAACGCCATGATCTACGAAACTCACTCCGCTCATGCTTCACACAGGCAAAGTGCTGTACTCCATTCGCTCCTCTAACACAACTGCTGGGTACCCATTCGGCCATAAAGCTAACGCCTGATTCTGCTTAATTTCTCCGATGGCTTGACTTGATTGCATTCCTTCCATACACCATCACGCTCCTCATCGGCGGTACTACCATCTCTTCCGACCACTTAGATTCAGGTCCTCATGATTTGGTGCCCAGCGACCACGGCAGTTGGAAATCTCCTTGGGGGCCTGCCCCAGACGACTTCTTCGGTCTCCACATGGCAAAGATAGGCGGAGGCGTGAGCTCATGCGCGCACTTCCTCCACTCGTCGCTCGCTTCCGACTTCTCGTTGTCGAAAGCAATCTTCAGCAGAGACTGAAAACCAAACTTGTCGTAAAGCGGTTTTCCCATGGCAGAAGCTTCCATCCAACATTCGAGATCAAGCCCGTCCGCGCGTGTGATACCAACGTGCATGAGAAGAGAGCCAACACCGCGATTCCGATGGGCAGGGTCTACCGCCATCCAGTTGAGTGCTAATACAAAGTCAGCGACGGGAAGAAGATCATTTTGACTTTTCGCACAATCACGTTTCTTCATCCGGAAATAGCGCGTTTGAGGGGAAAGGAAATGCTCCACTTACCACAGTGTGGCCGCGTCATCCAATTCGCTCGCGGCCTGTACACCTGATTGAGTATTGACTCGCAGAAGCTCCGATATTCGCCCTCGGGCCACCATGGCGCTGTCAACTTTGGTGTGCCTGCAGCGAATGGGTTGACAGTCGAAATTACCCATTGCGAGCAACCGACAGTCTTGTTAGTAACTGTGTCGAAGGCGTAGAACCAGTGGCTGGAATTGTCCTCTTGGTGTTGTTTCCAGAAGCGTTGTTTTGATTCGGCGACGGCGAGGTCGCGATGGGCGCTCGTGTAGCCAAGGACCGGGAAGAACAGTTGCATGAACGGCTCATAAGGTGTGTAGTTCGCAGCCCAGATAACATCCAGTATCTCATCCAGCTCTTGCTTTGTCTTTGCCTCCCGGATCACGTATCGTTGTCCCATGGCAGCGGATTGGCGATTGCGTCAAGCCATGGCGACATCGGCCAGGTAAAGTAGTCTGCAAGTGCGCTACCTCGCCGCCGCTGCGCATTGACAGCGCAATCGGAGATATAGCTTGACCCAAGTATTGGACATCGTAGATTGCCGTGTTAGGGTGAAGTTGCCCAACAAGGAAGGTACCGTCGACACATTTAGCGTCTTGGCGAGGCTGGCAAGTAACACCCTTTTGCCCCAGCACACCTTCCCCGATAGCCCCTCACTTTTACACACATCCAGCCACTCGGTAGCACTTGTATCGCTATCATCATCTCCAGATGCTTGCGACCTTCCTCGATCGTACGGGCGCCGCAAGACAGATTTCTCGGCGATGTAACGATGGACCGAGGCTGGTCGCGTCGCTATTCATTCATGGTCCGCGCTCGGAGCGGTGCGATTGGGGTATGGTGTTGTCGGGACGGGCTTGCGACGTATGTTTGTGAAACTCGAGGCGAATTCTGTGACACCCAATGAGCGCGCTCCGTCTTATGGAGCCGCGGAGGCTTGCTTTCTACATTCACTCCACAAAGCGGATCGAAGAATGGAGCGACCTCCAGCATATGCGCCAGTCTGCAGCGATGAACAGGAAGAAATCCTAGCAGAGCTAGAAGAGAAGGATGGCGTTTCCTGGAACTCTAAGAGTACTGAGATCATCCCGACCAACACGCGCAGCTTCGTGGCGTACATGTCCATCCTGCTGCTTTCTCTTTCAGCAAACATTCTCCTGGTGATGGATAATGCAAGGCTTCGAATTGCGCACAGTCCAGCTAAGAGCAACTACAGTAAGTGACAGCCTGATCGGTCTGATACTAGCTCACGAAGATCAAAGGTGGATTAGCCTACGATACTACTGTGCCATATCACGCGACGACAAAGTACTGGCATCCGAACGCCAGTGATAGTGATATGGAAGGGGCATGGGACGCTATTGACACCAATGCCATGGCAGTCACGCTTGACGATAGATTCGCAAAACGTGTCGGTCTATCCAACTCCACTCGGTTTCCATGGGATACCGAGAGAAGCATCTACTACGTCAAAGGAATCCACGATCTGCATTGTCTTGTACGTATACATGATGATCTTTGTGTTCATCCGCTGATTGCACCAGAAACTCATCCGGAAAGCCATTGTGTCAAAGCATAACGACAACCCACAGCCCTTCAATCTTCTTCACATCTACCACTGCCTTGACGGACTCCGGCAGGACATCATGTGTAATGCGGACGACACACCGATACCAGCCCCTGTTACACATCAATCGGGCGAAGGTCAGCTTCGGCAGTGTCGTGACTGGGACAAGCTGATCGCATGGGCCACGCGTCCTGACCAACATGCTTGCTATGAGTTTGACGATTATCGCGAAGCAACGAACACACTGGAAAACTTTGCATTCTGTCCCCCGGGTTCGCCTTACCGGGAGTTCCAAGAGGCTTATTTCCAGTATCATGGACACAAAGACGCGTATGAGCTGTATGGTGACGAAGAAGAAATCGTGGTTTTCTGAAGTCGTGGCTGGGATACATCTTAGGCATACCCGGTGCGGGAACGTTCCTGGTCGTTTACGCCAATTAAAATACGAATGTACCTGTTTTGAAACTTAATCGTGGTAGCAGGGACCACTTTATCGTCAGAAGTTCGGATGAACATGCAACTTAATATCGATGGACGCTACACTACATGATCAGCATCAGCCACTAATGGTCGGACGCCATGGATCGGAAGGGTATGTACCTCATATCTGCCCTGACCACGAAAAGCGTCAGGCAAAATCCGCAGCCAACTCCAAGGTCAACCGATATCCCATGCCGTCAACGCTTTCTCATATCGGCCCGGGTTAACTGCATTGTTACGATGACCGTGCGGCGAGAAAACAAAAAGCGCAGTGCGACACTGGCAGGAGTAAGGCAATCATAGAGAGTGGATGAGCGGCGCCGAAGGCATGCGCGTCTGAAACTTCGGAATGACATGATTACATGCGAGAAGTGATAGTTCCGAAAATACTACGCTGAGATACGTAGCAGTCGACACATATATTTCGAGGTGAAGGACAGCAAATTCAGCACCGTCTTCATCCCGTCCTCACATACTATCTTCGACGTAAGCAAGAATGTCTTCGGGCGCGTTTACCCACTGACGCCGAGCAGAATCAGCAAAGCTCACCAAGCACATCAATTATCAACTACCTGCCATGCACGCTACTATCGCTCTGCTTCCGCTGCTTGCCTTCGCGATGGGCATCGCTGCAGCTCCAGCACCCCTGCATCCCGTTGCCCGGGCCGTACCAGACATCAACGAAGTCGCCCGAAACCCGGCTCCCATCGATCATCATGTCGGTTGGGACGACCATGGCAAACCGACACTTGGAGATATCAGCCACCTAAGCCCAGAGGACATCAAGAAGCTCAAAGACCTCATCAAGCATCTACTTGGTGGCAAGTGATCTTGCTCAAGGTACGCGCTCTACCGTTTCTACGTCATTCCTTCTCTCCGATGCAGCTAATAAGTGTAGCAATCAAGAATCACTTACAGACAAGTATGCCATCTACTTTACTCATACGAAAGAGATGGAGTCCTTTACCCTCATGCGTCATCGCTTTGGCCCTTTGGGCCACCATATCAACATAATTAAACACGACTACCTGCGAGATTTCTACTGCTCTACCTTCGTTGCGCAGCCCTGAACATATCGATCTGTCTTGGCTAGTTCCACAGCCTTTTTCATGCAACAACCTGTGAGCAGCCATTATCTGACGGGCAGCATCACCACTGCAGCGACCGCCCCACTGCAAGCTCGCGTATCAATGGAACACTGCACAAGATATGTGCTGGCAAATGTTTCACGACGGCATTGGCCAATTGACCATCCATCGCCCGGCAACATACAGTCGTGACACATTGCCGAGCCTGGTGTGTCACAAAGGTCACACCACGGTAGAAGATCCCAGAGTGAGCTAATCAGCGATCGGAAAATGACGAGTGTCGTTGTAGCTAGCGAGCTAACATACTGGCTTTCCTCCGCCGCTTACTCCCGTAGCTTCCGACGTGTACCTTTCACTAACATACCAGCAAATCCTAACCTGACCCGAACTTCCGGGGCAGTAGCACAAACACCTCTTTGAAACAGAAAAATGTTCAACCGAGGATACACAAGCGTCTGGCCGACCTTGCATGTTCGTCCCTCTATGTGGCTACACCTGCGCAACGTCGTACCGCCGCTTCCTGGTCTAGCAGACCCCTTTCCCCCGGTCTACTAACAATCCAACTGACTTCGCTTGTTTGCAAGTGTCTCGCTCCAAGATTAAGAGCGGATAATGACAGCGTGTGCTATGGTGATTGTGAGCGAGCCCTCAATGCAGGTTACCTACACGGTGGCAGCTCGCAATCTCACATTACTTGCACGCCATGTCGGTATTAGACGGTTGAGCGCGTTTGTCAGCTCCACCTTTATACAAACGAACAAACGGCCTGTTTGCACGCCTTCCCTTGTCTATTCCTGCGCGTGATAGGCCACGCATAATACCTCGCTACCTATTACTGGCGCACTCACTTCGTCGGTATCTAGCCATTCTAACCTCGGATACGATGCAATGATGCCGCAATCTCTTTTTGCTTCTTCCCATCATCCCCTCCCGCGCGAACCGGGAAGCAGCGCGGATGTCGGTCCGTACATCAATGTGGTTACGTGGGTTCTCTTGATTACCTCCGCGTTGGCGGTCCTGACTAGGCTTGTTACCAAGCGTGCGTTGAGGCGGAACTTAGATATTGACGATGGTTTTGTCTTGCTGGCTTTGGTACGTCACGTTTGATTTAGATGAATCATCGTTTCAAATCCCGCTTTTGCTGACTGATGGGGACCAGATTGCGACTATTGGTTCTGGTGTCTCTGTTAGTGTCCAGGCAGGTAATGGCCTTGGACGAGACATCCTGTTGTTGACCGAGGATCAGATCTTGGCGTATCAGAAAGTAAGCGGCTTAGTGACCGTCGACTATATTGATATCCTGCTAAGTTCTTTTGTAGGCCGAGTATGCGAACAAGCTGCTTTACATCGCAACTCTATGTTTCGCAAAGTTGTCCGTCATATCGCTGCTCAAGATTCTGACCGCATCAAAACTACACCGGACCTTAGGCTTGCTACTCACCGTCTTCATAGCTTCTTGGAGCATCCTGTCCGGACTTGTATCTGCGTTTCAGTGCGGCGCTGAAGAGCCATGGCGCTTCCTTGAGAGAGGGGGGAGATGCTTCGACTTGGTATGTAAGAATTCTGCCGTCTTCTTTGACATTGCTGACACTTCGAGGAGGCCGCTTTCTGGCAGTCCGTGGGCGTCGTGAACATACTGACGGATCTGGCGCTCATACTATTCCCGGTTCACGTAATCATGACGCTACAAATGAGTACGGGCAAGAAAGTTACGATCCTGACGTTCTTCGGCGCACGTTCACTGTAAGTTTGGCAAACAACCATCACAGTAGTCTTCTACTAATGCACCACAGAGACATCGCAGCGACTGCCGTCCAAATGGCGTTCCTCCACGGCTTCGCTTCACCCAACCCGACGAAAGACCTCTGGACATGGACACTCCTCACCCAGATCATTGAGTGCATCACCATCCTAACATCATGCGTACCCTACCTACGACCGCTCCTGGAGCACGTTCCATCAGGTCTCTACGGTACCGACACGATACGACACCGAGGTACAACCCTCGAGCACGGCTACTCGCGCACTAAAAGCAATTCGTATCAGCTCTCCAGCATAGCTTCGAAAGTCGGTGGCGGAACAAAACATAATCGGAAGAGTCAGGTGGAAGGTGGCGGGCTCAAACGTTTTCTACCAATGCGCTCGCACAATAGAACGACAAACGCAAATTCTGCGTCGGGTATCCCTGGAGGCCCTCCACGACCTGACGGCGAGATGGACGTTGAGATAACGGCTGTACATCACAAAGATGGAGATGCGAAGCGGTGGGATGACAAGAGATGGGAGACTGCAAGCACAGGAAGCTTTTCGAAGATCCTGAAGACCACTGTTGTTAGTGCGGAGTGGGAAGACGTGGGAGCAAAGCGTGGCGATGCGTCTAGTGATGAGATTGCGATTTTGCGTTGACATTCGTTCGGTAGAGGTGCTTTTGCGGTAGCATCAAGAGTTCTATACCCATTGATCTGGTGCTGAAATCCAACGAACCCAATGCTGCACGATCTTCATGATTCCCTCACTGTATCAAAAGAATTACGACACGTCTGTTGACCAGCGTCGACGTCGAAACGCCTGAATATTGTGACATCATACGCGTGAGATTACAGTCAATGCTCCGGCGATGTGGTATCCCCGTGGGCCTGTGAAGCTGTGCGAACGTTTTGCAGTGCCAATCGTCGCGTGGCTCACGCACGGGTTCCAGCCTTGAAGATTAGTGAGCTGGTTCCAATTGCAACTATCCGTCTGAAGGTTTAGAACTGACATGCCACTTAGCTGCGAGTACCCAGTCCAAATTGCTCATAGGCTAGAGAACCTTGAAAGAGCATAACTTACACGCGAGATGGGTAAAGCCCGATACCAAGTCCGGCATTCAAGTTAGCCCCACGCTTGCTCCAGTCAACAGGAAGTCGTGCGCCTTTTTGGGCTTTCGCCCCCTGTAGCATGCCGCACTTGGACTTCTACTAGGAGATGTAACGCGGCATGCCTGTGGCTGCATATGTCAGCCTCTAAGAGTAGATCGAGATGCAACACGCGTGAACTGCATCTGCGCAGGTTCCCGACAATAGTACGATGTCTGAGAGTCACGCTGAGGCGTGCAGGTGATTGTAGTGGACTCTGTGCAAGGGACAGAATAGCTGGCCGCCACATTGAGATCGGCCTGGTTGTGTTCAGGTAACGCATTCTCTGCTCGCATGGAACCTTTAGGACACAAAAGCACCACACGACTCGCTTGGAATGCTGGAACAGATATCGCGATGCGTCATGATAGCCGTTGAGAATGCGTGCACGGATGGAGGAGGCGACTTCCCACATGGGCGGTCGATTACTAACTAGCGTCACACAAGATGGAATGAACCCCGGAGCCACCCCTTCCGTCTTCCCTCTTTCCCCAACCACCGCACCGCTCATCGTCCAATTCGTGCCACGGACAATCTGCCGGGAGGTCTATGCCTTCGACTACAACGGTATGACAGCCGTTATTGTGACCACATGCCGCATGCTCTACCCTCGATCAGCATGCCGAGGGGAGACGACGGCGGCCCAATGTTGCACGCCCAGTGACATGCAGCGAGGAATGACGATCTGAACCCCTTTTCGCGATTGAAAGCCATCATGATCTACTGCTGAGTTCGGGAAGTACCAACGCCTCTTTCTTGGGCATATGCAAAGCGCGACGCGCCGGTGTAAACACGCATCTGTCCGTTCCAGCATCGACCTTGCCGTTTGACAAACACGCGAAGACCGGGGAATGTTAATTTCGCCTCTACCACACTTAATACATGCGAACAAGGGGTCTGCAGGCATGCATGTCACCGCTTTCCGCAGGTTAGGCACCCAATGGTGTGCGACCGAGGCACCAATCAACGCCCGTTTCACTGTGGGGTGCCCTCTGAAACTACGACTGCAGTGCGATACGTCGACTTGCGAGCTGCCGCCGTCACTGCAGAGAGCCTACAACTGCCTTTGCGGTGCGAAACGTTGGCTTGGTGTCTTTCACTCGGACGCTTAGTTGCATTGCCGAGCGACCGCCTCCTAGACCGACTTCACTACCGTCTTTGCCGGCGATCACCGTACTACCGCATCCACCCGTGGACATCTGCACATGGCGCACGTTACCTCTAGAAGGGATATATATCGAGATTTACTTGCATTGCATGCGTCCTGTATCACGACACACCTTCTGGGTATCTTCTTTCCTTTTCTGGTCTGTCTGCTTGCTCGACATTTGTTACTACGTACTGCGGTCGTATCCGTCTTGTTGCTCAACACGCCGCGGATTGAAAAGCTGGAAGTAAGGCCATCATGGAGAAGCATATCGAACTCCAGAGGTTCGGCCATGAGCCTCTGCGGCCGAGGGGCCGGGGCTCCATTTCGGAAGGCAAAGGCCAGCAGTTCGATCACGACAGATATGAACTGGCGAAAGTGGGAAAGAAGCAGGTGTTGAAGGTAGGCGCTGTTTTAACAATATGTCTGCTCGGTCTGATCATGATAGCGTCGCTTCGGACTGGTGTCGATGACGGGTCTCTCTTGTGGGTTAATGTGCACTTGGGAGACATTGCTTGTGTAAGTCCACATGACTGACATCAACTACCTCGCTGACGCCATGGCAGTATCTTTTCGATAGGCTTCCAAAAGTAAGGGCTCAACCTATACAGGGTATCAACAGCAACTGACGTTGAGTACAGCGGCGGACCTGCCGGCCTCATTTACGGCTTTATACTTATATGGCTGGGCAACTTCTCCG